GGAGGCGGCGGCCGACGAGCCGGCGCTCTGCCTGCAGTGCGATATGAACGACTGCTACAGCCGCTTGCGGAGGCTGGTGCCCACCATCCCGCCCAACAAGAAAGTCAGCAAAGTGGAAATCCTGCAGCACGTTATCGACTACATCTTAGACCTGCAGCTGGCTCTGGAGACGCACCCGGCTCTGCTAAGGCAGCCGCCGCCACCCGCGCCACCGCATCACCCGGCTGGGACCTGTCCGGCCGCACCGCCGAGGACTCCGCTCACCGCACTCAACACGGACCCGGTCAGAGGCGGGCCGAGGGGTTCGCGGCGGGGCCAAGAGGGCTTGGCGGGGTGGCAGGATGTGGGCTCTCCTCCTCGTCGGGCTAAGGGCCGACTAAGAATGACAACCGCGCTCACCTCCTTCTCTGGGTGTGCGGAGTCGCCAGCCGCCAGCTTGACTGGGCGAGTGCGGGTCTGAATGAACCGCGGGGCGGATCCCTGGGCAGTCAAGTGCAGCGTGTGCGGGAGGGTCTGTGCTCCCTGCAAGTCTTGGGGCTGCAGGCTGGGGTGGGGGCGCGCGTTTGCGCGCTTGTTTTGCAAGAAGGAATCCTGGACCCCACCAAGGACCCTGCTTGCGCCTGCTAACCTTTCCCTTGGTGTTTGGTTACTATTGCAGGCCGGCGCGGTGAACAAGCAGGGCGACAGCATTCTGTGCCGCTGAGCCGCGCTGTCCAGGTGAGCGCGCGTTTCCCTTCTCGGGTGGCCCGTCACCAGAGACGTCCGTCCATCGGGAGCTTCCGATGTCAGACTCCACCGGGTGCTTCCGATGTCAGACACCACGGTGTTCTGCCCCCAGCATTTCTGTGGGCAAATTTCCAGAGGCAGACCTTACCCCTGCCCCGGCATCTCCTGCCACCCAGTTAGTAAATGAGCCCCTACTTCGCTTTAGTATCTCGGGGTTCATTCTAAACAGACGAATCAGCTTGTGTTGTTGCCACCCCTGTGCCTTTCCCGGTGACAGGCGGGGTCCTGCTGCACCCCTCCCCGAGGGAAGGCACTCTTTGGAGTGGAAACTGACGGGTTGTCCGCCCGCATACTCTTACTCCCACAAAGGGGGGATGCGGGTAGGACCTGCGATTGGGTCCCCTCTCTTAGCTTCCCGAGGATCTGCAGCTACCCGCTCCTCGCCAGGCCAGGCCGCGGGCTGCGGGTGTTGTCTGACCTGGTTTGTTTTGGGTTGTTGATCAAGCATGTCTTAAGTTTGGTCGGTGGCGCCAGTTAGTCTGCAGCGGGAAGGTTCACACACCCCCTCTATTCATTCCTCTTCCACAGGTGTGCGGCCGCCTGAGCCTGAGCCAGGAGCTCTAGAGAGGGAGGGGGAAGAGCAGAAGTTAGAGAAAAAGCCACCGGAGGAAAAGAAAAAACATCAGCAAACCCTAGAAACGTTTTCATTCATCATTCCAAGAGGGAGAGAGAGGAAAGAAAAACAAAACCTTCACCCTTTTTTGCACGTTCATAAACACTCTACATACATATTCTGTTTTCGTCTCTTCATTTATAGCCGCTGTGAATTGTACATTCCTGTGTTTTTTGGAGATGCAGTTAAACTTTTTAAGCGTGTGACAGGACTGATGAATAGAAGATAAAGAGCAAATCCGACTTTAGAAGCCTACTTTGTGACCAAGGAGCTCAGTTTTTGTTTTGAAGCTTTACTAATATACCAGAGCATTGTAGATATTCTTTTTTGACATCTATTGTTTAAAATAGATGATTATAATGGGGCCGGGAACTTTCTTTTCCCAGCAAGAATGTTACATATTGTATAGATAACTGAGTGACATTTCATACCGTGTATATATAGAGATGTTCTATAAGTGTGAGAAAAGTATATGCTTTAATAGACTACTGTAATTATAAAATATTTTTAATTAAATATTTTTTGTAAATATGTTTTTTTTTTAATCTATGGGAATATTTCTTTTGGAAAATTATTTTTCAGCTCGGTTGCAGAGCTCTTGATATCTTGAATGTCTTTTCAGTTTGGCCTGGTTTCTAATTTGTTTTTGTTTTGCCCAGTGTTGTAAAATTGGAAGTAACAGCTATAGCTAGTGGTCCTGCATGACTGTATGAGATGTTTAATCACAAAATAAACTTGTTCTGAGTCCATTCAAATGTGTTTTCTTTAACCTAGATCGAAAGCTTTGTATTTAAAGCATACATGTTGAAAATACACTTTATCAATTTTTAAGTACAGGGTTTTATAGTGTAATATTATAAAGAGTAAGTGTTTGTTTTTTAACTGAGGTCAAAATGGATTCTGAATGATTCTGCATATGGGATTGGGAAATGTTTGGATCCTTAGGGATTTTATGAAATCTGTTTTAACAGTGATTTTTTTTTTTCCTTATCTTCATTTGACATTAAAGCTTAATGTCACTAAGTTTCATGTCTGTACAGATTATTTAAATCATAGAAATGAAAAATGTTCTCTGCTTGCAACCAAAGGACAAACTCTTGAAAATGAACACTTACTGCTTTCCTTCCTCCAAAGAAAATATTAATAGGCAACAGTGGGAGAAAACAAAAATTAAAAGGCATAGTGGCAAATTCTTCAAGCAGGGATAAAAGTCGATCTTCAAACATTAAGTAGACCAAAAATTCTGATGACCGCATCTAGATTATTTTTTTATAAAAATGATTTTCACTATAGCTATGTTAGTTACCGCTAAGCTACTGTTGAATCTCTTGTGATGTGTAACTTTTACATGTGAATATTAAAGTAGATTTATGTGTCTTGTACTGTGATTTCTGGTCTCATTTCTTGAAAACCTTACTCTTCTCCTTTCAAGATTTTCTTTTCTCTTTAAAGGATGATAATATTTTCTGTGTTAAATCGGATTATCAGGGCTTGTGAACAGTATGCATTTAATATGATCGGTACTTTACACACCAGTTAGATGGAATTTTAAGAGTGAGGAGTAGAATTAAATAGGATTTAATTGGGTGCTTTGTAAATAGTCAACTATGTGTGTAACATGTCTGTTTGATATTAAAAAGGAAAGATTTGTTTCCTGTTATGGAAGAGTAAAATTATAGACCCAAGGGACTTTTTATGACGTCAAAGTCAAATATTTATATAAATATGAAATATCACGGTCCTGGTAGTTGAAGTGGCAATGTCTTAATAGAAATGAACAAAGTTAATACTAGTAAGTTCAAAAAAATCAAAATTTAAAAATCTGTGCCATTTACAGTGTGCTGTCCCCTCAGTTCTGACATTTAAGTGGTCTTGGGCATTGTTAGGATTTGATATATTTAATGTTGACTTTTATAAAGTTAAAGAACAACTTGTTTAGGTGAAGTTTATTTTTTACATTATTCATTCTTGTCACATAATGAAGAGGAAAACACTAGAACACTGCTGGAATTCCAAATCTGAAGAATTCTAATGACCGCATTCTTTGTTATTAAAAAGGGGACAATTCCTCCTTTTTATTTCGTAGTTTCATTTCAGTAGGAAGCATGTCACATGTACACTGTTGGTTTGAGTTAGGCATCTGTCATTCTTGACTGCTGAACCCTACCTAAGCCCCTGGGCAGAGTTTAAAACTTAGGCTGCTGGGTTATGAACCTTAAACAGATAAATGTTTTTAAAGATAGATGTTGCTCTTTTGTTAAATTTATGTTTTGGGCATGATAAGCCACTAAAAGAGAAGAAAAATACTATAGATAGTACATTTCAGAGAGTTGGCATTTTCCCCTTGGCCACGCAAGCAGTATTTGATGTCTCTAAAGAAACAGTCTATTGTTTATAAAAAGAAAAAAAAATTATATGTTGTATAAACTACTACATTCTATTAAAATGTTGGCTGTGCCTTAACCAAGTAAATCATCTCATTTATCTAGTTCTAATTATTCAGATTCTTGGTTTAACACAGGAAAATATCCTGACTTCTCCCATTCAATTAGTGTAGTTTCCATTGTAGAAGCACAGCCAAAGAGTAAGAATCATTTAAAACCCTTTAAAGGGAGGGAAGGAAATGTACCACACACCGTGGCTGCTATTTCTAATGTTATAAAATCCTACTGTTTTAGACATCTCTCATGTTAAACGAAGGAAAATGCTTTTCATTTCAAAGAACTAGAATACTTTGTTAATTGTGTAAATGTTTTTCAAGTTTATCTTCAAGCTTTAATGGCATTTTTAGAACTTCTTAAAATCTTAACCCCCAAAATCTATTAGATTACCTCTATAATAATAAATCTTCACTGAGCGAAAGGTTCTTAAATTTGTGGTTTCTAATTGACTTCTGAGTTAGGCAATTTTTCATTATCAAGAATGGGTCCCTTGACTGATCACCTCAATTATTTATAGTGCTGCTGACCATGTGATGAAAAATGTGGTTTAAAACTGGCGATATGAATGTAAAGAAAATCTAGTTGAATGCTAAGGAAAGCTTTTCTTCTATTCTTTGGTGTCTGCTAAGATAGGAAGCAATCATGCTAAGGAAGGCAGCAGGATGATGCCCAGGGAAAACTACAGACACACGTGAGTGTGCGTGTGTGTGCGTGTGTATACACACACACACACATACACACACACACGGCAAATAATGCAGATAAATTATTTCACAGTAGTATGGAGTCAAATAAAACTGGCTCTGTCTTTCTAGCTGGTGCACGTTAATTATATATATGTTAATCATTCCAGATAGCCCTTGGGTTTCCACAGGGCCTGACACCAAGCCTTCCAGGCTTATAAAGAAGGAAATTCTTCCCTTTGCTGCTTTGCAAGTCCAGGAAACTAATTTACCTGCCTCAGAATGAATCTTAATATGGCTGCCCTTAGTAGGTATTCTTCAGACCGAGATGATTTCTTTCAGTTACAACCCATGACATTTTGCCAAAATATTAGTTACATTAATTAGAATGAATTGCTCAAAAGGTTTTGGGATTGTAATTTTATTTACACTCCACCCTGATCACTGATACAATCAAAAAAGGAATCTAATTTGTCTGGTTCAGAGGAGACAAACTAGTCATAAATGCTTTAATTGAAAATGCCCTCAAATTTTCAATGGATTTTTTTAAGTCTGTTTTCTGTTCAAATGCTTCCTTCATAATTATTAATATCCTGGCTTGTTTTAAAAAGTTTCACCTAAGTCCTAACGCTTAGGTCTGAACCACATTGCTAAATGTTTTCTATACTCACCAAAGCAAAGCAATTTGGGATTGAGGCTGTTGAAGTTAGTTCCATCATTCCTAAGTTTCCACAGTCAATTCACACATGGGGATATGAAAAGAGGTCCGTAAAAATTGAAGTTAATTTGAAGAGCCCCTCTGAGTCCATAACAGAGTAAACACATCAGTTTCTGAGGAAAGAAGAACAAAATATGTTACCTTTTTTCCAGTGGTTAAATTGTGAATTCAGAGGAAATTGAATTTCAAATATTACATAAAGAGATCCAAGACAGATTTTCTATGTGAATCCACTTGTATCTGAATTTTTGTTTCAAAAACAAATCTCATACTTTAGAAAGGAATTTTCTATGAGATTACCTAAGTGTTGGCAAAATATGCAAATTCTTGATGAGACGTCATTATCTGCTTCTAATTACTGTTTCTCAATTCTTTATGAGATAAAATATGCAAACTGACACTTTGAGCATACTTATTAAATTTATTAAAATTACTATGAGTCAAAAGGACTCGATGGCACTTAACAACAACAACAACATTACATTTACATTTTTAATTTTGTCTTTAATTCCAAAGTTTAAATGCCAAAGAATAACAGCCCTATAGTTCTTCATGCAAATTCATGTATTTTAGAATGTTTTTTCAATGTTTACCTAAATATTTTCTTAAGTATTTACTATTCCCTTTCTAAGCTTTTGGAAAGAAGTTTGGGCAATCTATTTCCCTAGTGATACCTCCTTGGTAACCCAAAGAGGGGTCGCTATGAGTTGGGTTCGACTCAACGGCAGTGAGTTTGGTTTTTTTGGTTTTTATAAGCTTTAGCAGTCAATTGAGACTGTATCCGTGTGTGTAATTATTTACCTAAAAAGAGTTAATTAGCCAACATATAAATAGGCAAAATATCTTTCCAAAGGGGGTTTTACTCAAAAACCTTGTTGTTATTGTTATGTGCCCTTGAGTCAGCCCTGACTCACAGTGACCCCTCCTTGGGTTTCTGAGGCAGTATCACTACAGGAGTAGATTGCCCCATCTTCCTTCTGAGGAGTGGCCGGTGGGTTTGAACTGCCAGCCTTCTGGTTAGCAGTCAAGTGCCTTTAGGCACTATGCTACCAGAGATCCCTTCTAAAATATTAGTCAGACATATTAAACTTCCTCTATCTTTCCTCTAGTTTTTCTTGTAATTCCTAACATTTGAGATTTACATAAAAATGCACACCCCCATCCTATCTTTTTCGACTATCACAAAGGTTAAGAGCTCAGCTACTTACTTACCGAAAGGTTGGTGGTTTGGACCCACCAGCCGCTCCGAGAGAGAAAAGACCTGGAATCTGGTCCTCTAAAGATTACGGCCTAGGAAACTCTATGAAGTAATTCTACTCTGTAATCTGGGTTTGATATGCGATGGCACATAACAAGAGCTAACCGTGTTCTGTTCTGTATAAGGCAGTAGAGAAAATAAAGAATAAGTAAATCAATTGTCATGATTATTATATCCTAGAATTGGTTTTAATCTCATAAGTAATCTCAAGTTAAAAGTCAAGATAAAAAGAGGAGGGTGCTTGTATATCAAAATCTCAGAGAAAACCTAGGAAATAAACTTAGAGACGTGGATTTTGTACCTTCCTTTAACAATAATTCTTGGACACACTTTTCATACATGTTGAACCTGAGTCTATGACTGCTGTAAAAACAAAGTAGGCTCCTTGTATAGAAGGCCTTTTTGCATGTCCTGCAGTGCCTAATCAGAGCCTATACAAATATTTGTTAAACGTAATTAAGAATGTCCACTTAATACAGTGTCTTCCCAGTGTTCTCAGTTACTCCATCTTCCCCCTTTTTATCTCTGTTGAATTGTAATTGGGCTTCAGACCAATACATCTAACTGCCTTCAGGTCCTTCCTGACTCAGAAAAACAGCAGATTCAGAAGCAGGATTCAGGCCCCAAACCTGCTACTCTTTCTGGACTCCTTAGCTTGACTAATGGCACCTGTCATCACCAAGGTCAGAAACCTGGGAATTGCGCTTTACTCTCTCTTGCTCTATCATATTCAATTAAACAAACAAACAAACACAAAGTATCTGTTGTCATCAAGTCCATTCTGAATCGTAGTGAACCTGGAGGACACAGTAGAACTGTGCCACAGTTTCCAAAGCTGTAAATCTTTATTGAAGCAGACTGCCAGATCTTTTGCCCATGGACTGGCTGTTGGGTTCAAACTGCAGATCTTTCATTTAGCAGCCAAGCACTTAATCACTGCACCACCAAGGCTCCTTTCATATTCAGTTAAACCCAAACCCACTGCCATACACTTACAGCAATCCTATAGGATGGAGTAGAACTACTCCCTAGGGTTTCTAAGGCCATATGTAATCTATATGGAAACAGACTGGCTAATCTCCTGTGGAGTGGCTGGTGGGTTCAAACAGCCAACCATTTGGTTAGCTTTAACCACTGCACTACCAGTTGTTGTTGTGTGCCATCGAGTCAGATCTGACTCATAGCGACCCCTCCTTGGGTTTCCGAGGCAGTATCACTATGGAAGTAGATTTCCCCCATCTTCCTTCCGAGGAGTGGCTGGTGAGTTTGAACCACCAGCCTT